CGTAAGTAAACTCGTTTATGCAGGCAGCAACTGTCTCCGCTGACGTGGACCGTTCCCCAGAGACTTCTTTATCAGGAAGATGCAAACTAAACTTCTGCGTCATGAATTCAATCATATTTAGATGAGCAGCCTCGAACCGGGCTTGTTAACAAAAATTGAAGTCTACTCAGTACAGTATATTAAAGGTGACGCTAAACTTGTACAAACATGCACAATATCAGACCAATCAGGTAGTGTCCTCAAGCGAGTAGTGGCTCGATTGGCTTTCAGACTTATCCGATTGGCGTGTTAGAGTACGCAGCCTGGCCGCAGCTTGCGCGTCAGGATCACTTGCACTGCATGTGATGGCGTCACCTGGGAGCGACTCGCCAGGGCTGCATGCGAGCGAGTCCGTTGGGACGGCTCCTAACACACCTGGTCGTGCATTTTGGAAAAACGCAGGTGTAGTCAAAACGGTGGCAGTTAATTGCTATTTGCTATTTTTCCAAGATTTGTTTTCTTGTGAACCCTAAGGCTGCCTATTGCACATACACAACACGCATGTAAAACCAATAGGAAGCTCACACACCTACATTTACCTTAAGTAAACTGAACTAGAATGAAATATAGCACATTTTGGAAGTTTTGAATCTTATTCCGCTAGGCGCGCTCGTTCCTCACTTTATGTATTCGCATTTGCATTGCACTTCAAATTTTTTTTCTTTTAGCGCACCAGTATCTTGGATCCAACTTTGTCGTAGAGCTGATGAGAAAATTGGACTAAAAATAGAGGACGGTGTTATTCGTGGATTTGAAGAAAATTCGAGCGCCCGTGACAACGGTGTGCCCCTTGACAGACACATCGTAGAAATAAATGGCGTAAATGTCGTTGGGCTCAATGACGAGAAACTTGAGCAAATCTTTGCTGCAATCACGGGCGCCTTTACGCTTACCCTCCTTAGGCACAAAGACTACGACAAACTTGTAAGCGGGTAGGTTTTATGGTGCCCGTTTTGCTGCCTTTTTTCTATTCCCTTTCTACTTCTTGGCCGGCTTTTGCCTTTTCAGTGGCTGAGTAGCCAGTAGCCTTATGCTGTGAACAGGAATAGTCTTATTCTTAGTTAGGGCAGCTTGATAACTTTACTCACTAGCCAGCCTCCTCAACAGTTTGTTAAGTCTCTTGGTCATTCTTAGACGCCGTTGGCCAACGGTTATCCTATGTCCTTTGTACGCAAGTGTCTTAAGAGGCCCCAACTTGAGCGGTCGAGGGGAGAAGACCCCAAGTTCTGGCTCGCAATCCTCTATGTGAAAAATGTATCAGAGGCAGCTGCTAGAATCCTGAGGCCATTTGGGATCGGTGTGGCTCATAGGCCTGAGTCAACCATCAGACAGCAAATCATGC